TCAGGGTATTTTTACTATTGTGATCGAGTCACGTATTCCAAGGGTATAGTTTTCAAATATCGGTATCAAAAAGCATCTTGGGGATTACATTGTGAGTTAAGACAAATTTTTCATGGTTGAATATCTTGATACCAGTAATGGAATTCAATCTTTTCAAGATTGGTCAAGTGGAATGTTTCAAGAGTGTGATCAACACAATAAGTTTGAGTATTTCACGGGTATGAATCAGAAGATACAAAGATAACGTTTGTGAATTATCGTTACTAATCGTAGGTTTTCATCCCTCAATGTTTCACTCTTTGGAAGCTACTCAAGGAGTCATTTTCTTAGGGAAATAGCCGTTTTGACTTTTCGTCTCGAATTTAAACGTGTTTCAGGACAACGAATCCAACTGTTCAAGAGTCTCGATGCGTCATATCATCAGCAGACTATAATATTAGCGAGTACGTTCTTGTCTGTAGGTATATTGAATACATTTTACTGTACGTATTTTGGCTGGTGGCAATTACCTTTCCACTAGTGGTCAGGTTTCTGAGGCTATATTCATATTATGATTATAGAAAGAGTATCTCACATTCTCACATTATGGAAGGAACTTCTCGAACACTTCCTTACACTATAAGATTCGTTGGTCTTCTTGGCAGTCACTCTCTTGGTAGAAATCCAAAGTTTATGGCTACTGCGGTAGATTTAGGAAGAGAATTGATAAGGCGAAAGATTAAACTTGCCTATGGAGGAGGTAGTGTTGGCCTTCAAGGAGCAGTTGCTTCAATAGTCTTCACCAATGGTGGTCTCGTTAGAGGTTTCATTCATGGGTACATAGCAACACGATGGGTCTACGGACCTACATATGGCGTAGAGCACACAGTTTCCAGCAATTACTACAAATATTTTGAGATGAATCATGCTGTGGAAGCTTTCATTGTTCTTCCCGGAGGAGTTGTCACTATGGAAGGTTTGTTCACCTTGATCTCGTGGGCTTCTGAAGGGTTACACAATAGACCCATTGGTCTCTTGAACATTGACGATTATTTCAATAACCTAATCAAATTTCTAGACAATGTCGTGAGGCAGAACTTCATGTCTTTGAGTTAGAGGAAACTTTTCATTTCTTCTTTCTTTGATGGTGAGCTTTTGGATAAATTAGAGTTTGCTAAAGCTTTCCCGGGACCTGGGGTTAGTTACGATGAGTTTGTGAATCCGCGGATATGATTTGATCAATATCTTTAGGCATAGAGAATTTATCTTTCTGACCCAAAAACAATATAATGTGGGCATGTGGTAGTCCGCGCTTTTGGAACTCGATAGTGAAAGCAATTATAATGAACAAATGGATATACTAATTAGTAATGATGCATCGGTTAGATTTTAGCACATAAAGTATTGTATGCTAGCGATACAGTACTTACTTGCTCTAATTCTTTCAAATATTTGATTCTTCTTTCAATATCGTATTAACTCATTGAGTTTCATATTGAAAACTCTAGATTCAATATTTGGACGATCTTCTAGATTAAAATCTCCGTCACTTAAGAAACATTCAATCTTTGGCCATTTTGGATTGCAAGTGAACTTTATAAAGAGATCTGGATAGCCAGTCCGACAATGAATAACTTACACCGTTAGCATTACTAAATTACCAACTCTACAGTAGGAGATAAATAGAACCATATCGAGTCAGTACAATGTACAAATACAATGCATCGGGCATACCTCTATAGAATCAAAGGCAAATTCCCCCAGCAAGAAAAATGGAACAAACAACACAAGATACTTGTCCATTCTGCTAACAAATCCAAAGTTAAGCTTAATGTCGACCATTTAAGTCACTTTTGTTATTCAAAAAATTCCAATAAACAATACTCTGTAGGAGAAAAATACAAATAACTCATCAATCATTTAAGCTACTTTTTTTATTCAAAAAATTGCAATAAACAATACTCTGTAAGAGAGCATTTGTGTCCAATTCTATTTTTGGGTGACTTTCAAGAATCCACCTTAAGCACAACATCTTGTAACATTTTACTAACTCAGAGCATCTCCAATCATCCTACTTTAGCTTGCTAAAAGCCATAATATAGCAAGTCAACTCATTTTTCGCTTCTCCAGTGAGTGTTAAATTAAATGGAGGAGTGACATATGCCAATATGCCAAGCAAGCAATACTTTTTTGTCCAACAATAATCTTTTCATTACGCATTACGATGTTTGATAGAAGTTATTTTCAAATCATTTTATATGAAAATGGTGTAAAATTTTAATATAAAAATTATATACTCCCTCCGTCCTCCTAAGATGTTCTCATTTTGACTTTTGGTGGTTTTTAAGGAGAGTTGAAAAAAGGTGAAAGTTTACCATAATACCCTTAATGAAATATGGGTGGAGTGTATTAAATGAGGTGGGTGGGGTGTAATAAATAAAGTAAGTGGGGGTAGTTATGGTATTTTAATTGTTAAAAAATGAAATGAGAAGATCTATTGTGGACAAAGAAAAAGGGCTATTGAGAAGATCTATGGGGGACGGAGGGAGTATTTAAAAACTACATCAAAAGATCTATAAAACTAGATGTGACATTATTATTGAAGAATGAATATTTTCACTTGAATTATTATGGGAGATTACATGTGTATATATACAAGGGTTTCCTAATGATAATATGAAACAATATTAAATGCACCCTATACAATTATGGTAGCTACCAATATACATAAATATTAAATATAATAAGAATATATTTAACATGCTCCCAACGGCACCAATGAGGATCGCCGCACGCCCAAACAATCTCGAAACTCGGATAAGATCATGGAGGGTAGTCCCTTGGTGAAAATGTCTGCTCGCCCACATTATGTCTGCGAATTAAACAAGGCTCTTTATGGACTCAAACAAGCCCCCTGATCTTGGTACCAGCGATTCACAGGATTTGTCCTCTCTCTTGGTTTTAGTGGGTGCAAGAGCGACACCTCGTTGTTTGTTTACAGCCGCTGTCAGGACATGGCCCTACTTCTGCTCTATGTTGATGACATTGTCCTCACCGCCTCATCTACTGCTCTTCTACACCAGCTCACTGAACGACTAAAAGATGAATTTGCTATGACAGATATGAGTGACCTTCACTTCTTCCTTAGGATCAATGTCCAACGGACCTCACACGACCTGTTCCTCACTCAGACTCAGTTCATCTATGACATCCTCGAACGGGCCGGCATGACCTCGTGCAAACCAGATCTCTCTTTGTATCGCTCTATTGTGGGAGCTCTACAGTACCTCACCTTCACCCGCCCGGATATTACCTATGCCGTACAGCAGCGCAGCTATGCCTCTTTCTTCATGATCCTCGTGTGCCCCATGTCACAGCCATGAAGCGCGTACTATGCTATCTTCACCGCAAACCTACCCATGGCATCACCATATCACCTTCTCAAACGGATCATATGCGGGCATATTCTGATGCTGATTGGGCTGGCTGCCGAGATACTCGCTGATCGACATCCGGTTACTGCATTTTTCTAGGCGACAATCTCATCTCCTGGTCCTCTAAGCGACAACTCACCACCTCTCGATCTAGTGCTGAAGCAGAATATCGAGCTGTCGCTAATGCCGTCGCTGGAGTCAGTGGGGTACGCAATCTTCTTCTAGAACTCCGGCAACCACTGACACGCTCCACATTGGTCTTGTGTGATAACATCAGTTCCATCTACCTTTCGGCCAATCCTGTCAAGCATCAGCGCACGAAACACATTGAGGTCGACATTCATTTTGTACGTGACAGAGTAGCTCTTGGTCATATACGAGTAGTTCATGTACCTTCTTCCTTACAGTATGCAGACATTTTCACCAAGGGACTACCCTCCATGGTCTTCTCCGAGTTTTGAGATTGTCTAGGCGTGCGACGATCCTCATTAGTGTCGTTGGGAGCATGTTAAATATAGTCTTAGTATATTTAATATTTATGTATATTGGTACATTTGGTAGCTACCATAATTGTATAGGGTGCATTTAATATTATTTCCTACTCCCTCCGTCCCAAAAAATCTTTCCTGTTTCATTTTTTGCGCGTCCTTTAAAACACCTATATCCCGCCTTGAATGCCAAAAAAACTTTCAAAATAACTTCTACCCACAATAAAGAAGAAATGTTATAAATTTTATGCATTTTAGATGTCGGTAGAAGTGTTTTATGGGATGCGCAAAAAATGAAACAGGAAAGACTTTTTGGGACGGAGGGAATATTATCATTAGGAAACCCTTGTATATATACACATGTAATCTTCCATAATAATTCAAGTGAAAATATTCATTCTTCAATTATAGAATTTTATCAAATGAGCATCCAAAATAGACTAGCAAAATAAACAAAATTTGACCTTGTAAATAGTAGACGAATTTTTTTTGGTGGGAGGGAAGTACAATTTACAAATAACTCATCAATCATTAAAGTCACTCTTTTTATTAAAAAAGATTCCAAGAAACAATATGGAATATCTAACGACTTCATAGTACAGGTGACATCCTTTATATATAAGATTAGAGGTGACATTATTATAAAATTTTATCAAATGAATACCCAAAATAGACAAGAGTACAATTTACAAATAACTCATCAATCATTGAAATCACTTTTTTTTATTAAATAGAATTAAATTAAATTCCAACAAACAATACCGAATATCTCACTACTTCGAGCCTGTTTGTCACTGCTTTTTTAAACAGATTCTCAGCTTATGGAGTGATCGGAAGTGATTTTGTGTTGTTTGAGATGTCCGCTTTTGATTTTTTCAAACGCAAAATAAGACTTTCAACGGTGTCCTGGTGAAGCATCCTAGAGCAGCTTTTGGCTATGAACTTATGCGGTAGAAGTAAAAATATCTACTGAAATTACATTTTTATCCTTGCTAAGAATAAAATCTCTAATTTGACAACACGTCTCCCACTTCTTCTCCACTAATTTTGAGCAATAATTTCTCCTACTTTCTCACCCTCTACTTTTCAATTCCCTCCACTAAATTTTTAGTCTTCCCTCCATCATTTTCTAGAGAATACCACCAAATCTCTTCACCAAATTTCTTACTATTTTTAAGAAATCCGTAATATATGTTTATCTTTTTCTAATCTTTCTCCAATTCAGATTTCACTTCATTTTGCTGAATATCCCACCATAAATAGTTATGATTTACGAGTATCATCTTGTAGAATATCTCGCTTGAAAATTTCCCCAATTTTTCCAAATTAGCCTGCCAATTTTTTGTATAAATAGCCATGAAGCAAAATCAATTTCTTTACGGGTACTCCCATCCTCTTAGTCACTTTTTATTTGATCTGCTTTGTCATTCCTCTATCAGTAAGTTTTTATTACCCTATGTGAGATGAATATGCAAGGCATTTGTTTTGGATTATTATTGCATGTCATTCTTGAATCTATATATCTGTTGCTGAAAATTTCTATAATCCTCTATTACTTTATAAACTCTGATTTGTGGCACTTTAATATGCTATAACAACAATACTTTTTTTTGTTTACTTTATTGATGTGAATTTTAAATAAAAATATATACTCTGTACTATTTAATGCTTAGTTTTTTAATTACTGGTATATGTTTACAGAGGCTTAGAGATTTATTGTCATCAATTTTCTTTCATCTTTGTTGTAAAAGAGTTTGATACTAATTAATGTAGATATTAGCTTCTATTCTTTGCTTTGATTTCCATGGCATCTCATCTTCAAATGAGCCAAATTGTGGGGTATGAAACTGCCAGAAGAATCCCTGAGCAGCAACCTATACTCGTTCATCAAGGTGCAGGCAACAATCATAGAGGCCAAAGAAATGCTTCTTTTGTTAACAAAGCAACATGGAATCAACTCCTAACTGAAACTTTCATAAGGATTTGTGTGGTTGAATTGGAAGAAGGGAATAGACCAGGGACACATTTTAATAGAGTGGGTTGGGAAAATACTGTGAAAAAATTCAACACTGAAACAGGCCGTCAGTACACGTGGTTGCAACTCAAAAATCGATGGGATAATCTAAAAAAGGAATGGTTTGCGTGGAGGTCAACAACTGAGAATGAAACTGAGCTTGGATGGGATAATCAAAGAATGACAGTGGATGCTGATGGTGGATGGTGGGAACGAAAAGTCATGGTAATTTTAAAATATATATGTGGATGTACCTGGAGTGTTTATGTTTTGTTTAAATTTTATTTATTTCTCTAATTATTCTTTGTATTTACTTTTGTAGGAGAATCCGGATGCTGCCAAATTCAGGGAGAGAGGGCCAATACTTGTCAATGAACAACGAATGCTATTTTCAGATGTTGTTGCAACTGGTAACAATGCCTATGTTCCCGCAGCAGGATTGATGTCTGAACACATGATGGATGAAGTTGATAATGAGCAACCTGAGTTAAATGCATCTAATGTTGAAGAAAGTAACATGTCTCAAGGGGGTGTCCCAAGTTCCAGTGTCACACAACCAACAATGGGCAAGAATCCATTTTTGCCCATACACCTCAATAAGAAGAAACGAAAATCTTCTGGTGCTGATAAGATTGTGCAGTGCTTGGAGAGGATGGTTGACTCGGTTGAAGGAGATAAAGGAAGCAACTCTGCTGAGCGTTACTCTATTCAAAATTGTTTGAATGTACTTGATAAAATGGAAGCGGTTGAAGCTGGAGGGCATCTTTGGATGTTTGCTACACGTCTCTTCTTGAAGCAAGTACTAAGAGAAGTATTTATAGGGATAAAAAATGATGAACTTAGGTTCAAATGGCTTGAGGAACAAATGGAGCAGGACTTCTTTCGTAGGAAAGAACGTCAAATTTAAACTCTTATTTTTAGTTTTTCTGATTTAGTTTTGTGGCAGTACTTAGTATGCATTTGGATATTGCTCTAAATTGGTTAAGTTCAGTAAGATTATATTGAATTTATCGTAGTTGTGGTCAACGAGGTATATGAATATATGCTTTCGTTTTTTGATGTTATATCTGCTCTCTATGTATGTTGGTTTTAATATATTGATTGGTGATAAGATTTTTTATTTTTTAATCATAAGCAGATATGTCTGATATGGAGAATGAGTTAAGCAGTGATGAGCATTCTGATGGTGAGATAGGAGAATCAGTCAGCCTTGAATCAATTGATTTGGATTACAATATAGATTCTGAAAGTGAAGTTTCATTTGCACAACATAATGAAGATAAGAGAAAACTTATCTTAAAATCTATGATGATGGCAAGTATGCAATACTATGTAAATTACATGCACAAAGAGCCTTGCCATGATAGAAAATACAGTGGGTGGTCAGCCTTGATGAGTTTATTAAATGGACATCGTAGCAGGTGCTATGAGAACTTAAGAATGCATAAGCATGTGTTCTTCACTCTTTGTGAAGTCTTGGTTCAGCACTATGGCCTTAAGGGCACCCGTGAAGTGTGTGTTGAAGAAATGCTTGCCATCTTCCTTATGATTGTTGGTCCGCAAGCTGGTTACTAACAATTAAAGAAACACTACAACGTTCTTCTTATACTATCGGTAAGGCATTTCACAAAGTGTTGAAATGTGCAACAAGAATGTCTATTGACTGGGTTTGTCCGTTTGATACACATGAACGCACGCACCCATATGTGAAAGACAATTCTACATATTATCCACATTTCAAGGTAAAACAAGCCAACATGTCTTTCAATGTATGATTGGTCATTTCCAGGTTATTATGATTTCAATAATACTATTATTTTTATAGGATTGTATTGGTGCAATTGACGGAACTCACGTTAAAGCGATTGTACCCGAGGAAATGAAGATACCATTCATTGGGCGTAAGGGAACTCCTACCCAAAATGTGCTCGCTGTATGTGATTTTGACTTGTGTTTCACATACGTCTTGCCAGGATGGGATGGTAGTGCACATGACACGCGGATATTTTATAATACTATTAGAGATCACAATAAGAAGTTCCCCATGCCACCATCAGGTATTTTATTCAAATGATTTTCTAGAACTTGTTAATTGTGTTTAACATTTTTTAGTATGCATTGTATTCACAGGAAAATATTACCTGGTAGATGCTGGTTACCCAAACATTCCAGGATTCCTTGCCCCGTACAAGGGACATCGATATCATCTTCCAGATTTCCGACGTTCAAGTAGATATAATAATCATTATGAAGCTTTCAACCATATACACTCGTCCTTACGGATGTGCATTGAGAGAAGTTTTGGAGTATGGAAAGCAAAGTGGGCTATTCTTGACAAAATGCCCGTTGGTATACCGTTTGCAGATCAAGTTGCTCTTGTTCCAGCCACTATGGCACTTAATAACTTTATACGAAGGCATGATGCCCTAGATGATGACTTTCTTCGCTTCAAAGATTATGAGCCCGCTCAATTCACAAGGATGACATCTCAAGATCAAAACAATGACATTAACATGAATAAAGTTCGAGACAACATTTGTGCATCTATAACTTTTAGTCGGATTGGTGTATCAATGTTTTAATTCAAATATGTAGTGACTTTCATTATAATCTTTAAGTTATACTTCAAGCTTTCTACACGTGCTTAATTATTATTTTTGCAAGATGATATCATAAAGTTGAAGCAAATTGATCATTGGATGCTAGAAAGGGATGCTCTACGTAGGACTATACCTACATGTTTTTTTATTTGTATCACTTCATCAAAATGCATTAAAAATACAAAGTGCTTATTAAAAATGCTCACAATAATTTCACCATAGCGTATGCTTTTTTGTTGGTTAGCAAATATTATCCTGAGAGCCGTAAAAAATGAGGGGCATTATAATAAATGTGTTTGTTTATTAGAAATCTAGAAGTGATTATAATGTCAAACACTAGATTGCATGTTAAAATAGCAAATCACTTTTATGTGCAAACAATACTACTTTTGGTACTAATTTTAGATTATGGATTTTTCATTAAGCGATACAAAAATAATCACTTTTGCTAATTCAACACAATGACAAACAGGCTCTTGGTTTCTAATTTTGGGTGACTTCCAAAAACAAGAATGAATGCGCATCCGGGGAATCGAAACCCGGTCAGTACCGTGGGAGGGCACTATGATACCACTACACTAGATGCGCTACTTGATACTACGAAGTCAAAAACTAATACTTGTATATATCAAATAGTACTGTGCATATAAGGTTTAGGCGAGTTTTCCACTTTTCCCTGGTTGTGAAGGAGCAAACTCGCCGCTTAACAGGCTGCACGGAGAACATACAAAACCCTAATTCCATGGTTTCAACACCATTACCTTGTCTCTTATATTGAACACGAACACTTCCCTATCGATTTTCCTACGCTTCAGCAATTGGAGAAGAGAAATTGGAATCTATTCGCGCGATTACGCATGAAATCGTTTTACTGCGATTGAATAACCTCGCGAAATCAAGGCAGGAAACTAGTCGCTTTCTCGGCGCGACTACTCCCAGCTACAAATAACTCCGCGCCTTCATGTTTGCTTAATTTTTCGTGCTCAAAAAAGTATGAATAAGCAGGTAATAATGTGGTGGAAATTCAGTATTTGCATTGGTTTCATATATCATTGATAATGCATATGTTTTTCAGTACATATGAGTCATGGTTGGTCCCTATTCCTATTGAGTACAAACCATAATTGCCATCCTGAATCGGTGTATCGGGTTTTTTTTTCTTCTTTCTTTTCTTTGCCATGATTGCTATGGTTTCTGATAAACTGGAACTGTAAACAGACCATTTGAGAGTAGCTAAATGTTTACCACAATCTCTATGCCGCATTTTCTTTCCAGCAAAGCAGCATGTGGAGGCATTTTCGGATGATGTAAAGCCTCGCCCTTTTCCCTTTCAAAATCTTGTTTCTTGGTTCTTCTGTTCCTGCTTTCTTGCTGTTCTTTGACGCGGATGCATTGAACCTTGTGGACTTCAGCTCATCCTTATTCATCTTCTTTACGGATTAATATTGGCTATCTTGGAAAAAAATTGGGGATTGACTGTTTTGTTCTTCTAATCCTGAATATGAGTTGTTTTTTTGTTGGTAATAAACCTCTGCTGCTATTTATCAGGGTGAAATCTGAAGATTTGCCACCAGGCTGTTGACCACTGAGATTGGGCCACTGAAGTCATAAGTCTGACTGTATGGTATCCAGGTTTATCTGCCCAGTGCCCCCCCCCCCGCCTGTTTCCTGGGCTTTGAACTTCACAAAAAGGACAACATGACTCTGTAAGTGTTTAATGCTTGACCAAATGTCTTCATTTAATGAGTTCATACATGATGCTGTAAGGGCACCTGGTCCTCCGCTTCCCGAAATAACCCATAATTCACACATACTGGAATCTGTAACGCTCTTGTTTTCAGCTTCTCTTCTCCTGTGAATGCAATGAAAAATTTGTTTGTTTGATGAACAAGCAACTCTTTATTAACGAGGAAAATTATGTTTATATAGATAGTTGCAGCATGATGGTATTTGTGTGCTGGTAAATAAATGTGCATGTATTTTTCACCCCTCTCTAATTTACTTTCCTCTTTTTACCTTTAAAATTTTAATTTTTGTCCTATCCATTTTACTCTATGACAGGAAATTATCTATATGACAGCCACCAACTGGTCTTCTAGATATGACATTTTCTTTGGTTAAGTTTTGTTATTTTTTTAGGTTACCACACTGTTTTACACTCACATAGTATTTTTTTTTTGTTTTTTTGGGTGCAATGCCTGGCCCATGAGGGGCACATTAACATACATCTCTAAGAACAAACAAAAAACTAGAGCAGAGAAGTGCGGTGAGCACCCGAGCTTTGTTGCACTGAATGCTCTTATGATGAATTTACAAGTTATGTTCTGAAGCTCTAATTTACTTTCCTCTTTTTACCTTTAGTTTGTGCGCATAAAAAAGTTTGGTGCAGAAAAGGGCGGCGTACATATAGTACCCCGACCTTTCTCGCACCGTGCGGTTGCACTTAATGCTCTTATGATGAATTTACGAGTTATGTATGTCGTTCCAATTTCCGAAGCTCTCCCATATTTGGAGCATTTGTGGAACTGAAGGGACAACTGAAGAGCAACTGTAATGTCTTTTTTGCTCTCTTTTTCATTTTCTTCTTGTCCTTTTTTGTTATTGATTTTTCTTGAAGGAGAATGTATTCTATATCCCATAGAATTAGAGTCACTCTCTATTTCTTTATTCTTTCATCTGGAATTGAATTTTCATTCTCTCTCCATTCCTTTAAGCTTTAAAGTTCTTTGGAGTGAGAATTGCGCTTCTCACTCTATGGATGTTGACTTTTTGGCTAACTTTTAAATTCCCCATTTTTGATTCCTTGTTATGTTTTGCATACCGCATCGCTGGTTTAGTTATTTGTGGAGGAGTTTTGGAGTTATAAAAGAACTTTTCCTCGTCCAACTCTATCATACTAATTTGTATTCTTTTTGTCCTCGTAAACCACTTAAATACAAGTGGATTCTTTAAGTGGTGCTTGGAGATAACGCTTATTTTGTTGAACTCCTTTAACAAATTTCGGGAGTTTCTCTCTTTGTCTGTTTTATTATTTCACTTCCACTTTATTTAGTGTTGTAATGATGTTTTCTTTTTAAGGTCTATGTTTTTGGATTAGAAAAGTTAACTTACAACTTTTATTTAGTGTTGTAATGCTATTTTGTTTTTAAGGTCCATGTTTTTGGGTTACAAAAGTTAACATGTAGCTTTTTCTAACTTCTTGCTTCCTGTTTTTCTAATTTATTCTAGTCTTTTAATATTTATATTAATATGAAAATTAATCTTAATATTAATATTAACTCTAAATTATTACGGAGTATTTATATTATTATTATTATTACTTTTATTCTTAATTTTATTATTATTATTATTTTATTAATGTCAATAAAATAATAAAAAGTTGAGGTAGTGTCACAATTTCTATAAAAACATACTCCCTCCGTTTGGAAAAAAGTGTTCCTCTTTTGACTTTGTGTAAAAATAAGGAAGTATTAAATTGTACTCCCTCCGTTTCTTAAAACCCTTCCTCTTTCATTTTTTTTGTTTTTCTTAAAACACTTCCCTTTTCTATTAAAAAACCACTTTTACCCCTACTTTTTCATACCCTACCTATCACATCATATTTTTCACTAACAACTAAACCATCACATCTTACTTTTACCCATCACATCAAGGGCAAAATTGGAAAGTCAACTACAATTTAACACTTCCTTATTTTTCCCCAAAGTCAAAAGAGGAATTGTTTTGAGAAACGGAGGTAGTAGTTGACTTCTAATTTTGCCCTTGGTGTGATAGGTAAAAGTAAGATATGATGGATAGATTATTAGAGATAAAGTATGATGTGATAGTTAGGGTATAAAAAAGTAAGGGTAAAAGTGGTTCTTTAATAGAAAGTGGAAGTATTTTGTTGGAAGGGAAAAAAATGAAAGAGGAAGTGTTTTTGATAACGGAAGGAGTAATTTATTTTGTCCCCCCAAAAAATTAAGCAACCATTATAGAGTCAATGTAAAATATTGAAATGTTAAATGAGTTAATTTATTATATATTTTTCTTAAAAATTTTGTACTTTCTCCGTCCCAAATTATAGTGAATGTTTACTATTCACATGGTCAAAATTTATTCATTTTTTTCTGTTTTCGTTAGCAATTTGATAAAATAAAGTACTATTGTTATTAATAGAGAAAGAAAGTAAATGAAGGAGGTGTAGGAACCATCAATTTTATGAACGGAGTATCGTACGGCTCCCGAGTCATTCCATGACATTGCTTAGCAATGTCAAGGGAGCCGGTGTGATAAAACTTTAATGACAACTAAAGATCGAGAAACAATTTATATTTGTTTCAAGAGTGCTTCTTTGGTGCATATCAATTCTATGAATCTTCTCACTTAATTTTTTTTTATTTGAAAAACAAAATGCTTTTTTAATTAGTAAAGAAATGTATACTTTGTTCATATGTAGGTTCATGATCGATCTTAGTCACCATAGAATTTGGCTTCTTCCAAATATGACCACATCGACATTAGACTCCTTGTCAACATTTTTGAGGTTCTCGTGCAGCCTGAAATTAGTGGTGAAAATACTTGAGGTACTGACCATTTCAGCATGTGGCAGGGTCAAGTCTTGGACTCTATTTTCCCATGATTGAAACATGTAAACAAGTAGGTGTCTTCCCCTTTTGATTTTTGAACATGTCGCTAGTCAAACATACCTACCTTCTTTGAACTACTCTAGTTTTTGCAAAACACTAGTGTCATACACAAGTTCCCACCAAAATACCGAATCTTAATTTGTTCTCTTAATTAATTGTACACATTATGGTCGAGAGATACACGTCTAGTTCTCTAGGAGTGTCTAGATGATTAAGCATTATGCTACTACGTATCTTTTATTTGAAGCGAGTCCTCTTCACTTTTACATACTTCCTCTGTCCCAAATTCATTTAATTTTTCGATCAATGTATACAATTCTATCTTTTTGGAAATAATTTTATCTATGATTTCATATAGAAATATAAAGGACAAATTACGTTCTTACAAATCACATAAAATTTTTTACAAAACAAGATGCGACAAGAAATATTTTATTTTATGAAACGACTAATTAAAACGTAG